TGTCTTTACACATCAATGTATCGTCACGAGCCGCAGGGTTTAATTTGGTTTTGTCTGTGTATGTTTTTTTTACTCTCATTTTATGACTGACAGACTGCACGTGTTTGAGTTAAAAATCTTCGTTTGTGTTCTACTGAAGAAAAAGTCACCTACATCTTGGATGCCCTGGGGGTAAGCAGATAAACATCAAATTTTCATTTTTGGGTGAACTATCCCTTTAAGATTCAAGAGAACTGGGTTTATTTGGAACTGATGTTTCCTACTGTCAGAGAAATTACATTTTAGATGAGATGTACGTTTGCAGTCTGAATTGAATGTGATGAGAATTATTATATGCATATACAGCCAGACTTCAATTAAAATGCTACTGAATATTCTTGAAATTGTTGTGAATGTAGAAATCAAAGAACCGTTTAAATGAGCAGCGTTAATTAGTCTAATTGAGACGTGTAATTGAGATGACAGCTTACCGTCACATGTAGGCAGAGGGTGGCTCCACCAGTGGTTCTTCTCACAGACCAACTGCTCCTCGTGGCTCAGTCTGTATCCAGGCTCGCAGCCAAACCACACCACCGAGCCGATGGCCAAGTCCTGCCCGTAACGTATCCCATTTACGGGCACGCCGGGGTCCAAACATGAGTGAGTGTCCAAAGTGACGCCTGAAGCACAGCGAACACAAATTGAGATTATTTTATGTAATTTAAAGACATAGTTGAAGGTATATAGTCAATTTCATTTACAGTTTTATGTTGTTGTGCATTGAAGGCAAGTGTATAGTTTCAGGGGAAGAAAAGCTATATAAACTTACCTAAAATTACATTTTATTTTATTGCATTGCACTGCACATTACATTTATTATTTGATTTGTTAATGTTACTTTCTCCGTTATCACTATCAAATTAAGTATTTAATTTGCATTGCATGCAGCTGTGCTGAAATGGATTGTCAATATGAACGAACAGTTTTTTTGTCAAGCCAATAAAGCACACCAAATCGAAAAAAACGGGGTGAAAAAGGAAAAGAAAAACACAGAATCATCAAGAAATAGAGAGAGTGAGACAGAATACTACAAAGAGAAATCCTCAAGCTGTTTGCTTGTGTGGAGAGACAGATATGATTCAGGTTGAAATATCATTTCTCAGGCAAAAGGCACCCGGTCTATAAAGACGGCTGACTCACTTTCATAAAAGAGCTTAAAGCCACTGTTAGAGCGACTGTTATCGGTGGTGAAGAGAAGATACAGGAAGTTGCCGCTGCTGAACAGGAACTGAGGGACTTGGGTGCCATTTAGAGAGGCGATTAGGGGCGAGAGGAGATTAGGCCCATCGTGAACCTCTAGAAAGTCATAATTGAGTTCTGTCTGGAACCTGCCGGAAAAAAAAACAGATCAAAGAAAAGAGATGATAAATATTACAACATTGTTGTATCTCACACACACAACGTTGTTTCTATCCACACACACAAACACATCCACAGCTCATTACCCATGGCTGCCCAACTGTTCCTCATTGACCGCCTCTTTTAATGAGAAGTCACAGGCGCAGCCAGTGTTCACGCTGCTGTTTATTGATGGGATCAAACTGCTTTGTGATGTGCGAATAAACACAGATCTGCTGCAGTGAGCTTGCTTTAATGGAATAGTTGAGCTAATAATGAAAATACGGTCATTTACTCGCCCTCATGTTGTTCCAAACCTATATGGCTTTCTGTCTTCAGTAAAATAACACCTTTTACATAACAACCTAGTTTCTCTCTTCCAAGCAATGAAAGCATGTATAATAATAATAATCAGGGGCTGAAAGCTCCAAAAGTTACATAAAAAGTACCATAAAATTATAATTTTAATTATTATAAATCAAAAAGTCGCTCTTAAGACTTGTGCACCATATTCCAAGTCCTTTAAAATCATGTTACATGTTAGCATTCCGTGACACAGACAGACAGACAGACAGATAGTAGGGGTGTAACGATACACGTATTTGCATTGAACCGTTCGGTACGGTACGCATTACAAACCGAACGATTCGTTGGACTAATCCTATTACATTTGGAAATAAAATAAAGTGTGTGAAATATAATGTTTTCAGTGCCACTGTGCTCAACAAGGCAGCCCAAACGACGTAACAGCCCCCAAAGAAAAACACACTGCTCCAGAGTCAGGCATAGGCTGGACTAGATCATTCTTTGCAATATGGCCAGTAACTAGGGCTGGACAATAATTTAATATCAATATATATGACAATATAATTTTTTTTCAATAACGGTGATATGATTTTTAAACATTTCCGATATTTCGATACGCATTACCAGTGTTTCCCATACATTGATCTATTTGTGCGTTTGACTTCATTGAATAAACATGAGCACTGCAAGTTTCAAAACCAAAACGCAGCACAGGTATTTTATATGAATGTCTTTGAAGGGAACCAACTGTCTTCAGAAAAGTTTCGATGGCATTTTCATTTTATCTGATAAAGCAGCATTCATGAGCGGAGCGCTGCTTTGTGTACAGCCGTTAACGGGGAAACCACTGTTACTACCGCTCGTTTCATTCACTCCTTCTAGTGAACTGAATTAGTGACCTAATGTAGGGAATAGTGAATAGGGTATAGGGGGCGATTTCGGACACAGCCAGAGACTCCCTGACAGAGAGTCTTTTACATTTATTTGACAGTGATTTCACATTTTTATGTTTGTATGAAGGCTAAATAAATATAAAATGTGAACATTAACTTATTTATGCAGTTTTTTCCACTAAAATATTATATCGTTTTATAGGAGGAGGTTTCATAGACTTGGCTAATTAATTTTTTCAGAAGTTTGTAGGTACAGACATCTGTTGTGGGCATTCTTGGCAGTTTGAGGCTTTTTAAAATATTGTTCTTATCAATATCCGAATTATGGAACTAGACGAAAACAAGGAGATAAACACACTCTACAAACTATCCCCGCAGCATTTAGGCAG